ATCAATGAAACATTTATGGAGTATTTCTATGGGCAGAGTGGACTGAGATTTGTGTTCTGGTTCTTGGGTGGGGGAAAGTCTTAGTTGTCTTACAATGGCTTACGGCCCTCCATATCTCAACCAACATAATGTGATATAAGTATATCTGTTGTATTAAAATACCAAGGGATGGTCCAGTTGTGTGGCTTATGCCTACAATCCCAGTACTTTGGAAGGCTGAGGCAATAGGAACACTTGAGGCCAGGAGTTTGAGACCAGCCTGAGAAACACAGCCAGGCTCTGTCTCTACAAAAATTAATAATAAAAGAAAACTAGCCAGGCACTGTGGCACATGCCTGTGGTCCTAGCTACTTGAGAGGCTTAGGCAGAAGGATTGGTTACTTGGAGCCCTGGAGTTCAAGGTTACATTGAGCTATGATTGAACCATTGCACTTCAGCCTGGGTGACAGAGCAAGACCTTATGTCTAAAAGATTAAGATAAGATAAAATAAAATAATAAAATACTACACAGTTAAAATTAGGGGAAAAAAGTCTAAAAATGCTCCTTATGGGGTTGATAATAAGTAAAAGGGTGAGAAATACTGTTACAGACCATTTATAATTTGGGGGTTGTCGAAATGAAGTGATTCATTTATGGTACTTAGCACATAGCATTTATAAGTATTAATTATATGAAACAATTGTTATTAATTGTATACATTCAGTGCAATACTATGTATTAAGAAATATAAAGATATGTAAGATATAGTCCTTGACTTGGAGAAATTTTGAGAGAGAGAGTTAGAATAAAATGTTTTTTTTTCATAAGAATTTCAGGGTGAATGGAAGAATAAAGGTAAACCCACAGCTTGAGATGCAGAAAGAAACAAGTAGAACTTTTGTTTTTAGCAATGTTAGAAAAAACTTCAAAGAGAACAGAAGTGGAGGAGAATTTGGAAATAAGGTCTGTTCTGCTACAACATGTGGTTTTGTAGCTCAAATTACCTCATATGATATCTAAAAATAGGCAGAAAATACCAGCATTATGAAGAAGTCATATTTCTTTATGTCCTTGCTACTCAGAATGTGGTCCTGAACTAGCACCATCAACATCAATCAACAAGGGGCTAACAACATCCTGTTACTGGGAGCTTGTTAGAAATGTAGACTCTCCAGCCCACCCAATACCTGCTGAGTGAGAATCTGCATATTAACAAGATCCCTAAGTTATTCCTCTGCACATTAAACTTTAAAAACACTGATTTAATGTTTCCTAAGCAAATGCAACTAGATTTGTGGGAGTAGAACCATAAATTTTAGTATGGGAATAAGCCCTCATATCAGCTACTGCATTAGGAATTTGGTGAATTTTAAGAAAATTAAAACTCCTTATAAGTATACCTGACTGTCTTCTTAGTGAGGCCCACTCTCACTTTTGGTTTCTTCTCAGACACCCCTCTCCCAAGCCCACTTTAACACATTGACTGCCATATGAGTTGTATTTAACTCAGGTTAGTTTTGAGCCTGGGGCTGTGAGAAGCAAAATCCTGCAGTTGGTTCATGAAAATCTTACTTGTTGGTTGATGTTCTTATTGTTACAATAAATATTGACAATTTAATTCTAAACACATAGATTGCCTTGCATATAACTCATGCACTGAAAATAATAAAAAATAACAAATTATAAAGTATCATTTTGTTTTAATAAAACATTGTGGTCCCAGGAAAAAAATTTTTACTAGTATGGCAGTCAATGTGTTAAAAGCAGCTGCTCTGACTTAGAATGCCATTCCCATCTACATCGTTGTTTCATTTCAAGCTAGCCATGTTCTCATTCTAATATCATTCTCTCTCTCTCTCTTTGTGTGTGTGTGTGTGTGTGTGTATACTTTTAATATGTGCTGTTGAAGCCCCCAGCCATACTGAATTAATTGCTGCTTGGGTGATCTAAATGATCTTTCTAGGTACTTATTGTTATTATTATCATTATCATTACAAAATTGTAAAGATTTTGAGGGTTCTTCTTAATCTTATTTTTCCAAAAGCTCAGTTGTTTTTAGGACATGGTGTGCAGAATGTGAGTTTTTTCATAAACACATATATCACATTATGGAAGAAAGACCTGTCTAAGAGGAAGGAGTGACCTATCAGTAATAGAATAGGGCTGAGGTGCGGGATATGGAAACAGATCAGGAGTTCAGATGGGGACATTGACCTTATAAATTGGAGAAGATGTCCTCTTCTAAGACAGGTGGTGATAGGAGATGTGTAGGTAGTAATGAGTTTGAAAATAGGGAGAAAGCACATAGAGGCCCATGTTTTCTCATTTAGGGCACTGATTGATTGAGAAGAGTGGCTAGAGATCTTAAGAAGAATGGTAGAAGTTCTAGAACAGCTGCTATGGGAAATGAGAAAGGAAGTTTAGAAGAGCCAAGTAAAAATATTGTTTCTTTTTGAGACTTTAGTAGCTTTGAGACTTTCACTGAGCTTGGAAAATGTGATTTTGTAAAAATGTCAATTAGTTTTATAATTTTTTTCAACAGTCTTGAAAACACATAACAGGAGTCAAAAATAAACTGGCTATATAATTTAGTACTGGGAATTTAGTAAACTGAATGAAACATAAGGATAAGAGAGGTGCAGGAATTGAGCTATTTATACTTATAGTTGAAATGACTGACTTTGCTGGACGTGCTAAGAAAGTATAGCTAAAAGGGCACACCTCTAAAAGGATTAGAGGTGCCAAGGAGAACAGACATGGTCAGGGTAACATATGGGGGAGAGGTAAAATTGGGATGGAGGGGATGATGGAGCTTTCAAGATTATAGTGGGAAACTGGTGGAGGTAACGATGAGGACCAGGGCTACCTGAGTGTTTGGGAGAAACAAGAGACTTAATGAATGCCCAGTGAACAGAGAATAGAAGAGAGAGAGGCAATTCTCCCTCTTCTATGGGATATGGGGATTCAGGAAGATTTTCATTGAATAGAGACATGTGTAGGACCTTCTTTAACAATGATTTACATTTTTATCTGTAAAATAATGTGCTTTAGTTTGTTCTGACAAACAATCTTATTTTAATTTGAATTAGATGAAATTGCAACTTTTATAGGTCAAAATGATCAATTATAGACAATTTTATCTGTTTCAACCAAATCAGTTGATTAATATCAGCAACTAACAGCCTATGAGTGTTTTCTCTTGACCAGTAACTGGCATGATAGCTCTTTCCAGCTTGCTATATGTCTGGTTTCAATGAAGCTTACATGTGATTTATTAATATCTAGCTATGGAGAGCTAGAAAATTAAAATCTGAAAAGTGCATGTTAAAGAAAACATTTATTATTGCTGCTCTCTGTTTAAATTTTTGTAGACACTGCACTGAGTATGTTTTACTTGGGTTACCTAGTTTAATATAGAACAAAAATTCTATAAGGTAGAAACTCCTCTATTCCCCATTTTACAGGAAATAAGCACAGAGAGTGTAGGTCTCTTCTTTACGGTCACACAAAGCTATTAAGTAGGGGAGCAAGGATTTGATCCTAGGGCTTCTGGCTCCAAGGCTTGCACACTTAACCCATGTTCAAAGCTGTGTGTTGCAATAATTGCAAAATTATGTTTGACCAAAATTCCTACCTGATGGTCCATATTCATTTTGCTTTTTTCCAAGTACAAAGTCAGGAGTGAAATGAATGTATTCTCCTTTCTCTTCACATTCTGTGAACTGCCTGGTGTATGGCTCATCTCTCCCTGGGAAGGTAGGTGGTGCAACTATAACATCAGCCTGAGAATGTTTTAAAAGATTGTTAAAATAGCAAAAATAGAAATGACAATGTTTAGTTAGAAAGACTCTTAATGAATTTGTAGCAAAACTGGGGATCATCAGAAAAGATAATTTTTTAAGGCAAGATTTTCACACTTACGTGTTTGTAGGTTTCATGTTTTGGCCTCTTGTAGTCAGGATTTTCCTTCCAATTCTCAGGAATTAATATAGATACATTTTTGAAAAAAAGTCCTCTTCCTGTGGCTTCAAACAGGTAAGTAGAAGCTGTAGTCACCATGTCCTATTATTAAAGGGAAAAAATATGTGAGTATGGCCAAGTGAGAGTGGACTAAGAGAGCAGGTGTTTATAACAGGCATTTCCCAACTTAAGAATGGATGGAAAAAGCAACTACTGATGAGCGGAGTCTCTGCCTTACTGTTCCAACTGTGCTACCTGTCAGTCCTGCACACCGAAAAGCATCTGAGTCTTCTATAATCCTACCTCAAAAGGCAAATGCTTATGCTTGGCATTAAGAGAAATTGATTAATATTTTTTATTGTGTTTTTTTTTTATTTCAGCATATTATGGGGGTACAGATTTTAAGGTTTCAATAAATGCCCATTTCCCCCCCTCCCCACAAGTCTGAGTCTCATCATGACCATCCCCAGATGGTGCACATTTCACTCATTATGTATGTATATACCCGCCCCTCCCCCTCCACCTGCCCAATACCCTATTACTGTAGTACCTAATGTGTCCACTTAGGTGGCTACTCAGTTAATACCAGTTGCGAGTTTCGTGAGATATATCTGTTTTCCCATTCTTGGGATACTCACTTAGTAGTATAGGTTCCAGCTTAAACCAGGAAAATATAAGATGGCTATATCACCGTTGTTTCTTAGAGCTGAATAGTACTCCATGGTATATTATACACATTTTATTAATCCATTCTTGGATTGATGGGCACTTGGCGCTGTTTCCACAGCTGCAATTATGAATTGTGCTGCTATAAACATTCGAGTGCAGGTGTCTTTTTTTAGAGTGTCATTGGATCATTTGGGTAGATGCCCAGCAATGGGATTGCTGGATCAAATGGTAGATTCACTTGTATCGCTTAAGGTATCTCCATATTGCTTTCCACAGAGGTTGAACTAGTTTGCAGTCCCACCAGCAGTGTAGGAGTGTTCCTCTCTCTCCGCAACCACGCCAGCATTTATTGTTTGGAGATTTTTTGATAAAGGCCATTCTCACTGGGGTTAAGTGATATCTCATTGTGGTTTTGATTTGCGAAATTGATTATTATTAATGTGTGCATGGACTTTGGAGTCATTTACTTGATACCAATAAAGGCGTTAGCATTTTTTGGGTGACAGACCTTGGTTGATTTATGTAATGCTCTAAAGCTCAGTTTTCTCATCTCTTCAGTAGATTATCACTACCTATCTGTATGGCTGGCATAAAGATGGAATCAATTATTAAGTACTCTATACATAGGCAGTCTGAAAACTTTGATATTATTACTGTTTATAAGAAATATTAGTAGAGAACAGCATTAGCTGATGCCAGATGAGGATGACAGTCCATAAAATGTGTCATAGAAGAAGTTTTTCATTAGCCACCCCACCTTCAGGAGAAGCAGCTGGGCTGGGAGCATGGGTATGGGGTGATGGAGAAATCTATAGTAGAAGCAAAATTTTGGTCACAGAGCTGTTGCTTTGCCACCAAGCTAAAAATAACATCACTGTATATTTAGAATTATGAGCCTAGATACAATGACAATAAGAGAAATTGTCTCTCCCTTGAGCTTATATCCTGTGGGGTAAACAGCTGGGTGGAAGGTACTTGTGGTAATCTATTCCTTATGATCAAGGCCACTAAATAATTGAGGAATCCTGGGTACTGCATGATGATACCAATCTCTTCATCTTGCTGGAAGTGTCCCATTCTACAATGTTGTTTTCAAGGCAGGCTCCTCCATAGGCCTTCCTGGTTTTCTTCAGGAATTACAGGGATCTCTTCCTGGTTCTCTTTAAGAGAGTCCAGTGCGCTGACTCATACGTACTACATGTGGTCAGCAAACTGGGCTCAGAGCCATCGGATCAGTCAGAAGGCCAGAGTTCAGGGAACTGAAGGCCCAGAGGACTGCCTGGAGGTTCGGAAAAGGGTTTAAGAGAGCTCCCAAAGTAGAGCACAGGTTACTTTCAGCACTGACCCAAAGAAGGTGAAAGAATGCTCTCTTAGCTCCATGCCTCTCCTCTTTTTTTGTTTAGGGGTATTTATATCTCCACAGGTTGTCACCTTCTGCTTGAAGTGATAGCTCTCTATGCAAATGTGTAGAGACAAAAAGTATATTTAGTAGTTCAAACTGAGTTATGGGTTGAAGAAGTAGGGTTGCTGTGTATGGTCATGTGAGTTGTGCACTGTACAACTCAAAGGGATCCCATTTACTTTGGAGTCTCCATGGACCAAGTTACTGCCTTGGATAGTGATATGTTCTCATATCATGGAGAGATTTCAGAGACCCCTATTAGACTGTCATCCCCTCGACTATCCTAGGGTGGTTAATAATGGTTCCCACAGGGTTTCCAAGCAGAATTCCTATAACAGTCCTTCTAAATTCCTTTTCAGAATTTCTATAATATCCTAGTTGGATCAAGAAAGATGAAGATATGAATGTTTTCAAAAGTAAGTACTCTCAAACCAAGAAGAAAAATGAACACAAAGAAAATGGAAAGCTGAAAATCTAATATCTCAGGTCATGAATTGTGAGCCAGTTCAGCATAAATCTTATGATCAGACAATATCCTTAGGAGTAGGATGAAGATCACAAAAAACAAACACCACATGTACTCACCATTAAATCGAAACTAATCGATCAACACTTATGTGTACATATGGAAATAACATTCATCAGAAATCAAACAGATGTGTGAGGGGGGGGAAGGGATGGGAAAATTCACACCTAATGGGTACAATGCACACTATCTGGGTGATAGGCACACTTAAACTTTGAATCACTTGATACCAAAGAAATTTATGTAACCAAAACGTTTGTATCCCCACAATATTCTGAATTCTTTTTTAAAAAAGACCACAAATTGGTTCACCAGATTTTCACAAAAGAGTGATTTTCCTTTGTCATTTTTATCCAAGCCAGAACTCAAATCCAGGTCTATCTAGTCTTCCATACTTATGTGCTAGATCTTACCTCTGAGTGTGCTACCTACTGTGACCTTGGAAAAGTCATTTAACTTTTCTGAACCCATTTTCTCTTCTGTGTAATGTGGATGATAGTATTTCACAAGGTTGCCTGATGATATAAATGCAAGGACTTTGTAGGAGGCTGGGAGAATGATGGGAAACTATGTTTAATGTAGGTATGTCTGCAAACAATTGAATTTCTATTTGCAGTTATCAATAGAAGACCATGTAACAAATTTTTTGCCCTATAAATAATTCTTTCACTGATTTCTGAGTAAAGAATCATTTGACACTGGACACTAAGAATCTATCGTTCATAATCAGCTGCCTTAACTACTCTTCAAACCTCTTTAGTAAAAGGAATCTTTCCTTTAGTAAAAGGAATCTAAACTCTGAAATGCAAAAGGTACCAATAAACAAACATCTCTATGATGCAACAGAGTTTATAGAGGATAAGTGCAAATGGATCAGCCACAGAGTCACCTGATCACCATTGGGTCATGACCATCAGCTTCTGTTGGGTAACGACACCACGCATAAGGTTACAACAGTGAACATCAAGACCCAGCAGTGGAGAAATTAAAAATGAGGAATTACTAGGTGTTTATGTCAGGGACAGGAAAAACAATTTACATGGCTTTAACACCAACCTCTATATTATAGGGAATATTATAGTTGGAAGAAACATTAGAAATGAGAGTCCTTTGTTTCGTCCTGGAGCCTTTCCCTTTTCATCTGCACTTACCTAGTGAACACATGGCTTTATTTACTGTCTACGCACGATGACTCCCAAATGTTTCTCTCCACCCAAATTTTCATCTTATGTTTAGATTCTTGCCTCAACTTGGATTTTTCAGAAGCACCACAAATTCAAAATGCCCCAACTAACTCCTGATTTCCCAACTGCCAAGTTTTTTCCACTTAGCCTTATAATTACATCCTTCCAAGTGTTCAGGAAAAACTCTTAAAGTTTTACTTAACTTTATTTTTCTTTTGACATGGGGCCTCACTCTGTTGCCTAAGTTAAAGTGGTGTGATCATAGCTCACAGCAACCTGAAACACCTGGGCTCAAGCAAGCCTCCTGTCTCAGCCTCTTGAGTGGCTGGGATTACAGGCCTGCACTACCACACTTGGCTAATTTTAAATTCTTTTTAGAGAGGGGATCTTGTTATGTTGCCCAGACTGGCCTTGAACTCCTGGCCTCAAGCAATCCTCCCACCTCAGTCTCCTGAGTTGCTGGGGTTACAGGAGTGAGCCACTGTGCCTGGCTACTTTCCTCGACTCTTCTATTTCCTTCCTACCCTCCCCCACCCCACACATCTAAACCATCAGGAAATTTTGTCTATGATACCCTCAAAATATGATCAGATTCACATCACTTTAATGATCTTTACCACAACCTCGCCGTTCCTAGTCACCATCACTGCTCACCTGTGAGAGTTTCCTACCTGGGTCTTTCTACACTTCTGAGCTACCACAGAGTCTACACAGGATGAGTGACAAGTGGAAATCCTTTACGGTTTCCTCAATACTATAATCAAAGTAATCCCAGAACATGCATGAGAACACACCTTCCTCTGTTCAGAATCCTTCTGTGGAGTCTCATCTCACTCAGATAAAAGCCAGTCTTTCCAGTGGTTTGGGCCCTGCTACCTCTCTAACTTCAGCTCACCCTCCTCTTCCTCCTGCTCATTCACAGTTGTTTCCTTGGTCCCATCAAGCATGCGCTCACCTCCATGTTGTCCCCATCCCCCAGGTTTTCAATGGGCTCTTCTCTCGAGTTGTCAGCGAGGCCTTCTCTCACTGCCTTGCATGAAACAGTAACCTACATTCTCCCCCAACGCAGCCCCACCTAACACTCCATATCCCCCTTTCCTGATCAGTTTTACTTCACAGCAACCTACTACCATATGACCAGCTATTTATTTACTTGTATTTATTAACTGTATCTCTGAAAAGAATACATATTCCATGAAGCTAGAGGCTTTTTAAGAATTCACCGCTCTCTCTCTTCCAGCATGCCATAGCATTCAATAAATAATTCTTTAAAGAGCATATGAGTCCAACTGCTAATTTACAGATGAAGAAACTGAGGAATCAGGAAGTTCCTGTGCCTTGTTTTTCACCTGATTGTGAGACAGCGTAGAACCCTATCTAAAACCTCTGTATCCCCCTGGCCATTCCAGCATTGTTTTCTCAAACAAAAAATGCCATTTCTTGGGAGAAAATATTTCTAAACTATTTATCCAACAAAAGAAGACATACAAATGGCTATCATGTATATGAAAAATGCTCAACATCATTAAGCATCATGGAAATGGACATTAAAACCACAGTGAGATAGCATCTCACCCCAATTAGAATGGCTATTATTAAAAAGAAAAAAAAATAATAAATATTAGTAAAGATGTGGAGAAAAGGGAACTCTTATACAGTGTTGGTGGGAATGTAAATTAGTACAGCCATTTTGGAAAAACAATATGGAGGTTCCTCAAAAAACTAAAAATAGAACTACTATATGATCCAGCAATCCCATTATTGGTTATATATCCAAAAAGAAAGGAAATTAGTATATCAAGAAAATATCTGCACTCCCATGTTTATTTCAGCACTAGTCACAATAGCCAAGATATGGAATCAACCCAAGTGTCTAAAAACATGACTAGATAAAGAAAATGTGGCATATATACACAATGGGATACTGTTCAGACATAAAAAGAATGAAATCTCATCATTAGTGGCAACATAGATGAGTCTGAAGGACATTATGTTAAGTGAAATAAGCCAGGCACAGAAAGATAAAAACCACATATTCTCACTCGTATGTGGGAGCCACAAAAAGTCAATCTCATGGAGGTAAAGAGTAGAATGACTGGTACCAGAGGCCAGGAGGGGTAGAAGAGTGAGGGGAGGATGAGAAGAAGTTGATTAATGGGTACAAAAAATACTAGCATTCAATGGTACATAGAGAAATTATAGTTAAGAATAATGTATTATATATTTCAAAATAGCTAGAAGAGAAGAATCATAATGTTCCCAACACAAAGAAAAGATAAGTGCAGTGACAGATATGCTGATTACCCTGATTTGATTATTATATATTATATACATGTATTGAAATATTACTTTGTACCCCATGAATATGTACAACAATTATGTGTTAATTAAAAATAATTAAAAATTAAAAATAAGACATCCCATTTCTTCCTTACCTTTATTTGTTCAATTATCTTTTCATCTTCTGGTACACTGGGATCTATAGCAATGATAATGTCTTCATAACCATTGCCATTCAGCCTAATGAAGGAAGTATTTGACCTGTGCAGCAGGTACAGGATTAAGACAAAAATGAAACCTCTGAATAACACCATTGTTCCTGTCTAGTTGTCAGGTTGAACAAACCTGGATGTTGGTTTGCCCATCTGATTTTTCTCCATGTATATATACTCCTAAAAATGATCAATGTTGGCTGATTATGGGATGTTGGCTGTACAAAGGTCACTGTTACCTATCTGGGAAATGTTTAACTTCAATTCAATCATTTTATTGTATGTTACGGTAAAAGTGACTAAGAAACATAGAGGAAGTCAGATCTTTTTATAAAATTCATTGCACATCTTCCTCTTGGGACACAAATTTTTATACTTTCTAACTTTGGTTAATTTCTTAAATATAGACATATACTTTATATTTTCTGTAGAGTAGAATGTGAAGATTAATAACAATCCATAATCAAATGAAGAGACACAGTAATACTAATGTTGGTCTTCAGTTTTACAAAGCAATTTAGTTATTAGCTAGATTATTTATAATGGTATAAATAATGGAAGAGAATATAAAATTATTAAATATAAATAACATTGAATTATTAAATATAAATAACATCAAATTATTAAATATAAATAACATCAAATTAGATAAGATGGGTTTGAGACCAAAGATTTTAAGGCTTTAATAAATTTAGGAAGATTTGATAAAGTCAAGTTATTAGAGTAAACTAATAAAAAAAATCCTTCCCAGTGAAAAATGCATAAAATTTGTTGTTATACAAGCATATCAAAAACATCTAATAGTTTACTGGTTACTGTTGAAGCAGAATGAATAATATTAATAGTATTTATTCAGTGCTTACCAGGGCACAGATTCTCTCACTTAATCCTCACTGCAATTCTCAAAGGTAAGCATGGATATAATTTTAATTTTATGTATGGAGGAACTAAGGCACTTAGGCAGTCTGAATCTGGAGCCAGCATTCTTACCCAAGAGCCCATGGATTTAATCACTCCCTAATGAGGCAATGTTGCTTTATTAGGCAAGTAATGTAATAAGTTAAGAGAGAGAAAGAAGGAGACAGGGGCTGGGCATGGTGGCTCATGCCTGTAATCCCAGCACTTTGGGAAGCTGGGGCAGGAAGATCACTTGAGGTCAAGAGTTTGAGACTAGCCTGGGCAATATAGTGAGACCCCATCTCTACAAATAAATA